CTGTGCCTGTGCCGACAAAAAAGAAAAGGAGAAAAACAAAAACCAGAATGAATGGTCTTGGGGCTGTGAGTGGGGGCAATCGCGACTTGTGCAACTGCTGTTAGGCAGGGACATCTCCTCGGAGACGCCAAGTCGCTGACCATGAAGGTGTGAGGCTGAGGCGCGGCCAGCCTGTCGCCTCATCTCCATGGAGACAGAGTCAAGGCACCCCAGTGGGCCTGTCTCTGCTGTGGCCTGGAGCAGCAGGATCACTCGGGGATGCGGCCTGGCCATCACCTGGGATTCAGGGGAGCAGGAGGCACAGCTCCGATGACCTTAAACAACCTGCCAGTCTGTCAACGCGGTCTGGGGAATAATGTGAAGAAAAAAAGGAAAACAGCTAGGGATTTGTGTCGAGACACTGTTCACTCGACCATTGTAGTTTTGGAAGAGTCTCTTTGTTCCATTGGGAAGTAAAAGACATAGTTTGACAGCATGACCTGACCTGATGCTCAAATGCTCTTTTTCCATTTTCATTTGTTCATCCCAATATAGTAGTAATAGAATTTTAGGCCTATTAGAATTAGATTTTATTTTTTAATAGTTTTTCAGAATATTTAAATTTAAGCAAAATGTGCTTCAACATTTTAGAACACTTACAGCTGATATTCAGGATTAACAATGTACTTAAATTTATTACTATTTTACTTTTTTACTGTATTGTGGACGACTGTGTCACTGTCGTCCACAATAAGAGCAGGAAGCAGCTAGTGCCCCACCTCGCATAGCTTGCATGAATGGCAGGAAATGATGTTGTCCCCTTTGTCTCTAGAGTAAACACTTAAATGATGGCGGAGGCAGACACGAGCAATGTAGCAGAAAAAAAAAGTGCAGAGGCGGATGCTAATGTTGTTGCAGCTGAGAAAAACGCCATGGCAGAGGGTAGCATAATTGACAGAAATAACTTCTGTGTTTTATCTCTATTCTGTAATAATTTTCACCAGCCAAGGCTCCCTCATAAAGCTATTTTAAGGCTTACGGATATCAGAGCTTCATCTGTGGCTAGGAAACTGAAAGAAAACAGATGGATGCTGCTTCTGTCTATTACGCTTGATTTTAGGTTAAACTGCACTGTAATGTCATTTGTTCATTATGATGGACGCAACTCTGCCGAAGATGTGAAAATTGACCTGCGTCAATATGAAGTTGGTTGATTAATTTATTTGATTCCTTCCAACTGATGCTTTTGACACTGCTAGAATACAAATTTTTGTGTCTACCTTTCCATGTTTAATGTAGTTTATTTATTTTGTCTTTATTAAATGTAGCTTGTCATTGCTGTTTCTTAAGCAATCATCACCTAAAACAAGTCATTGTACAAGTTGATATAATTATGAGATATGTTACTAATATCTCCTAATATACTTATACAAAGAATGATATAAAAATAAAAAAATATATATACTTCTTTACATCCACTAACATCATATTGAAATACAGCACAGCCCCTCTTCTACATTTGCTGCACCCTGCTTCAGAGCTGACTAAAAGAATACATCCAGACATTTACATCACTTAAAAGAAAGACAAATTTGGTTGTTTGGAAATATTTCTACTGGAGATGAGCAGTGCAAAAAAGTCATGCCCCTGTTATATTTAGAAGTAACATTATTTCTATTCAACTGAGATGTTTGTTTCTGATAAGAAATAATACAGGAATCATTTAAATGTAGGACTATAAGTTTTCATGTTGGTTTTATATTGCCAGTGGTATTGTAAAGGATTATCTCTGCTGAGAAGTCACCCACCTCTTTCTTCAGATTCTCCACTATCTTCAGTGTAGAACGCCAAAATGTTAACCTAATGTTGACCTTCAGTCAGAAGTAATTAACTGATACACCAGCTAATATAAACTTATTTTGTTTTTGTTACTCATTGAAGTGTGAGAGAGGCAAAAAAATATTATTGAATTTTACCTGAAAACTGACAGTATTTGTTTATGTATTGAACTCAAAACACAAGAACATATCTGACCTTTAAGTGTTGATCAGTGTGCTGCATTATTTTAGAACATGTTGGACTAATTGCATCATTTCCTCTGTAAAAAAAAAAAAATAAGTCATGTTTTTTTTTTTTTTTTATGTTTTCTGCATAGAAACAGCAAAAGCAAATGGGCAAGAAGGTAATGGGTTAAAAACCCATGCAGGCATCTTTCTGAATGGAGTTTTTGTGCTCTTGCGGTTCATACATGGGTCCTCTCCGGATACTCTGGCTTCACAATATTATCAATATAATTTATAGATTACTTCATATATAGATGTAACTGGTCATATTGTTCAATCCTCTTTAGTACAACAAAGTCAAAATTATTTGTTTTCTTATTAAGGAATGCCATCATCAAGAGAAGGAAGACACATTGAAACATTGTAAAAGGACCCCAAAATGATTAGATGAGAAGAAAAATAAATCAAGACCATCGGAATAATTTTTGTACCCTTTCATCAACTATCATTCGTAATATAGTGAGAAATTACTGCCAAATAGGATCTCAAATCTTCATCACTCGTGTGTAAAGCAGCACGACGAGCACCATTCCCCCAGAGACACTCATGTTGCATTATCCGTCAAACCAGTACAGGAGATTGTGTGGAAAAATCTGTGCTTTCTTCCTTTCAGCCAAAAAAGAGAAAGAGGGTTTTGAATAGAGTGGCGATTCTTTATGCAGAGCTGAGACGCGACACCTTCCAGACGGTGAGAGATGGCGAGCCCTAATAATACAGAGCTGTACAATGGTTCTGACAGGCGAGCAATAAAGCAATCAGGGTCCCAGGCATTCCAAATCTTTTTACCGCCCACCCACTAACAGTCTCAGAGATGGGCGGCTGACCTGTGAGCTGTCAATCATGGGGGGGATACCTGCTGGAGCCTGATCAGGGAGAGCTGAGGGCACTGCTCCATCAGATCTGTTTTCACACTCCAGACACTAACATTGCAAGCATAACCACAGACACAAAAAAGCCCCACCGCCTCGCTCTTAATTAGGAGATGTGTGCATGTGTTGTTTTGGAAGGGGGTTGGACTGGTTTGGTTGAAATGGGAATGGGAGTATCTTAGATATAAGAAGATAGTAAGTGGAATCCCAGTGAGACACAAAATAACCTTTTCCCTTGATTTAAAAATCAGGCATTGATCTGTCATGCTGTTCTGAACGAGCAAGAGCTCTTTCAGAATTGCTTCTCGGTGTGTGTGGATATGCAGCGTGTGACATAGGGTGTGGATGGAGTGATTGTAAGGGGGGTTGAGATGAGACTTGTTCATTAGCTGTCTGTAAGCCCATCCCAGTGAGTAGATCATCATAATTCTGTGGTTAGTTAATGGCTTTCTGGTGTTTCCTCTAGAGTCTTCCTGTCTGAGGGATGGCTGTTGAAACTCCTTCACTGTTTTCTCCTCTGTCTTCCAAGTGTCTTGTGTTGTGATTCTGAACTCAGACAATTGGCTTCAGCCATTGGCGAAGTCTGTGAGAAGTCTACCCACATGGACTCACATTAGAGACGTATAAGCAATATCACAAAAAAATAAAAAATGCTGATTTGACATTCTCTCTTTGGAACTGTTCTTATTATGCACAGTTAGAGGGTGCCCATCACAGGACGTGTTCTTATTCTTCCATCTTCTTGACAATTTTTTAAAGGCATTTTTAAATGTGACATTTAGGTCAATAAAGAGGTAGTGTTGATATTAATAATAATAATAACAACTTTAAAAAAAACTTAACCCAAATTGTTACTTAAAACATTGAGAGATGATGCAAATTTCTAGTGAAAAATCAACCAAAGATTAAAAAAACTGGCCTTTTAGATTTTTGATTTTCCCTCAGAGTGGTTACTAAGCCTTAATCTACAAATATCTGTCTTTCCTTGAATAAGTTACTTTATTCATTAGGTGCTTCAGTGTAGAGTTATTACTGAACACTTGAGATTAGATATGTTAGTGTCAAACATTTGTCAAATAAAGTCACATGAAGCACATAAGTCGTTAAAAACTAGAAGAAACTGTTTTACCTACAAAGTCCCTCTCCTATAAGAAAAAGTAATATCCTTAAGTTAATTGTCCGTGTCCACATCATTTAATGTTTTAGAAAACTAACTTGAATTTTGGTAGGGAGACCCAGATCCGATCAAAATCAAACGTGTATTAATCAATAATACAGAACATTTCTGACAACTTAAAAAGATCTGAAACATTAACAACACATTATGATCTAACCTAAAGAAGAAATTCAAGAACAGATTAAAAACAAATCACAGACATCTACTTTGTGTGTGTGTGATTCCATTGCAATGTGCAGACAGAATAGAGTGGAATCCTCTAGTCTACTGCAGGCTGCTGCACAACAAGTCTGCTGTTAGTCAGACTGAATGCCTGCAAGCGCTTCGGACGTGAGAGGGGCTCCCAGCAGCTTCACTGGTCGTTTTAACTGCAATACAATCTTTGCTTTTTGTGTTGTTGCCAAAATCTCCCATAAACCAGAGATAGTTACTACATTTGTTGAAGTCACTTTATCGAAGAAAAAAAAGTTGGCAACAGGGCTCTCAATTCAAGCTGATGTCATGTTCTGCTTTGGTTTACGGCTGTCACTTCTCCAATGCTGCGTGTGTGTTGTTTCGAGACACTGACACTTTACCACCTCATAAAGGTAGCTACTAAGTGTTATTATTCCTATTAGGAGTTTAGAATGAATATATCTGATCCCAGATTGAAATGTAACCCTCGATTTTGATAGAGTCTGAAACCACGTTATCGGATCGAGACATCCCTAATTAAGATAAAAAATTAGGCATTTCTTAAGTGGGAACAACATAAATATGTATCTTGATACAATATTATCTCATTCAACATGCTGAAACTTACTAAATGCACCATCCCGCTGCACTTTATTATAGTAGGGCAGTATTATAATCTGCACTGTGAAACCCATATATCTGTTTATTGAACCCTCTATCACTTCCTTTCTCTTTCAGTTCTGCAGTATTTTGTGTTGGCCTATCAACTAAAGTCCTGAAGGAAAACATTGAAGTGTGTCACTGTAAAAAGAGAAAATGTGAAAAGCTAGAAGAGGTAAGCCTACTCTATATTGCATCTTTGTGAAAGAAGAATCTGTTTAAATTGTTTTTGTGTTGTGGCTTTTGGAAGAATGTTATAGATCATATTTCCTCAAATAAAAAAATAAAAAAATTGTTAGTTGAAGCAAAATAGTTTCATTAATTTATTTACGGTATTAAATATTCAAATTTTATAAGTTTGCAAGTTTCAAAATGATGTGCAAGATCCAATCTTACACTTGTTTATTTATAAAAATCTAAAATATGGTGGTCAGTTTCCTAAAAAAAGAAAAAAAAAGGCAGTCTTTGTCTGCATTTCTACTGTATTAATGTCAGACTTTGGCTGTACCTGTTTGTAGATAAAAATGACTGATATTCTCATAGGTTTTGCTACATGACCCACTTTGTATTGAGATGCAGCAGCTATGCGAACAGATGTTTGATACTTTCTTTTTTTTTTACAGTCTGCAGGTGGAAGTCAGAAGTCAGTGTTGGTGTATGGATAACAAGCCTTTCTTTTTACACTTTTATAAATAGGTTTTGAGATGTGCATTGGCTACATGATTTTCATTGTGCTATACTGAATAGTGCTTTACTTCCTGTGTTATTGTGTCACAGTTAAGTTGGATTTCAGCTATGTTTTGCTTGGCTGCTTGTAGTGAATGAAAAATCGGATATTGTAAATCTAAGGGTGTTAAAGCTTAGTGAAGGAAAATTAAAGGCAACATTATAATTTACGTTGATTGTTATTCCAACCATACTAACAAGCAGTGATTTGTCTAGTGGGATGTTTTAAAGAGCCTTCTTACCTTTCTAATTTTGAGAAACTGGATTACGTCTGATGGGTGATGTCCAAGTCTATGATCCAAAGAAACTTTTTCTTATTACGTCCAGTTATATAATGTCACCTCACTCTGCAACTAGAAGAGCAGTCCATATCAGTTTTATATGCGAGTGAAAAGCAGAGGTTACAGGTTCATTAGCCATCTGACATCACAAAGTCCAGCTAAGATGACTGTGTTTTTTTCCCAGAAATTCTATCCACTGACGGGAATGTCCACAACTTTCTCATTGTATATGATTCTGGATGACGTAAGTCATATTTCTGCATCCAGAGCTTTTACCAACCTCAAATTATTGTGGTGGGGTTTCTCCCAGTATATATGCATCGCTGCATAAACACAATGATTACTTCTATGTAGTTAAGTAGTTCTGCACATGTAATGGTTTTGTAATGGCTGAGTTGGCATATTGCTGTTCACATTAATTTTGTAATACACTTGGAAACAGTGGATCTAGTTGTACTTTCTTCATCTACTACTTCTTCAAGTTAGAAGTCCACCAACGCTGTTTTTTTTTTCTCAGGCTGATGCCTAAAAATTAGGGTAGCCGGTAAGTTCAGCTTCTGTAAAACTTGGAATGAGATCATTTGAGTATGAAACATGTGTGCACTGGTTGGCTAAAATTAGCAAACTGAAGCCTATGTACATGATGTTCTTCTGACTACTAATACAGTCGTACACAGACTTCTCACTCGTAGGCCACTGATGCCTGCTGCTGTGTCTCATGTTTATACTTCTTTTACAATCTGCAACCACAGCAACACTACATTGCAACCTTTTAACCTTCTTCATGGTGCCAACTGCTTCTGTTGAAGCTATTTCTTCTTTCTGGTTGTAGAGGTGGGTCTGGAAAGCAAAACTGAAGTTAATATTCCAGAAGTGTTTCTAATCACATTTAATTTATGATTTACCAAATAATGGGATTATTATTTCTTTCTTTTTGACATAGGGACCTCTTAGCTTTATTAACTTACACAACCCGTTTTTAAAGAAATCATCATTCTATACTGTCTTGGGTTATCTGAAACTGCTAATAAAATTTTTTTAATCATTTGAAAAAAACACTGAAGTCTGTGAAACAACTAAACAAGAAATCAGTATCGAGGCAAACAATTTTCTTTGCAATATGTTTTTTGTAATTTTCTTTTTCAGTTGTAGCACATTAAACTCTTGGCCCGTTTACAGTAGTGTGATGGCTCTTTAGAGTCTCCAAAAGAGACTGAGAGGGGAGCAGATCATGCAGTAATGACAACTGGCTTCCTCCTTCTCCATGTGGTCCGTGTGGAAGTTTTGTTCATTTTCTCATTTTTCAATTTTGACATCAACACATGGGAAAACAAACAAACTAAAAGCGTGCCCCGACAACGTTTCCCCTTTTATTGGCAGCTGATACATGAACAAGAGGTTGTCTTGGCTGAAAAAAGGGACTGCCGAGGCGTTTCGGGACCTCCAGACCTTTGTGACCAATGGCATGTCATCCCTCACTTTGTCATGTTTAAGTAAAACCAATCCCCATTCAAAGCAGCATCCATCAGTGTTAGTTGAGAACAATGACAGATTGCCTTTTTGCTGCACTCAAAGCATCTGGATCCTTTCTCTACTCCCCTTCTTTCATTTATGCTAAACAGCTTGAATAACAGCTGGGCAATGGGAGTTTACAAGTTAATCAATTGTTTGTTAGGGAGCCACAACATTCCCTATATCCAACCATCTGCAAGTTAATGTTCACTTACCATGCTAATTTTCCCACAGGCAGCATCATATCTATTTATTACATATCAAGAGATCTGTGCATCTGTACATTTTGGGTTATGGAATACTTGCCACAGAACAATTTTAAGTTTGGTAAATTTATAGTTTGCTGCAGGACAGAACTCATTCAGAAATTTCCATCCACGCTGTCTTTCCAATTCGCTTTAGGTGAAGTCACACACAGTTTTACTTGTAATGGATTTAGGTAACCGCTGCCTATTCAGGAAACTGTTTTCCTGTCAAAGTGAAATTCTCTTTGTTTGTTCTCTAATTTGTGCCTTTGGCAGGGTCTTGGTCTTTTGTTCCTCCCTGCTACTCTTGCGGCTCCACAAGATGACCCAAAACATCACAGGTCTCAGGGAGGTCAGTGGCAGGCATTTCCTATCATGTGGTCAGCTTTTTCACAAAACTTTCTCTTTCATACTGTTTACAACAGGAAAGCTGAGAAAAAGTAATCTAAGAATTTTTTAGAGATTGACCAATGTGAGATTTTTTGGGCAATTTCTGAGCTCTTAAACTTTTAAAGCCGACATTATCCAATATTTACAGTGTTTTAATTTTCCTTCAGATCATACAGCTTTCTTCACAGACACTACCAGGACCTTTTTTACTTACTTTATTTCAAAACAACATCATACAGAATGGTTAACGCAATGTTGATGCATTATCTGCGGTGTGGCACATCCACTCATATAAAGAAATGAAGAATTTTTGGTGCCTGATTCACCAAATACCACCCAGAGACATTCAGGATTAAATTTGGCTAAATCTCATCACCAATCTACTGTTCAGTTAATGAAATGTTTTACCTGAATATCTAATTAACATGAAATATTTGAGTCTTTTTGTACTGCAATAAACTATAAGCTCATGTTCCATGATATAAGTAGATGGGTATGAAATAGTTCACGAAGTGGAAGTTGCAAGGAGTAATCTGGAAAAATACTGGTACAAAACAGGGCATCGACTTAGTAAGAGGTCAATTGAGGTGGAGACTTCCACGACTTGTGACTTTCTTTTGTTGCTTTCTTCAGCATAAGAACAAAGCAATTAATTTATTTGTAGAAAAAGAATTCTCATTGAGAACAAAACAACAATTATTTTTTAATGCACATAAAATGCACAAAATAAAAGCAAGCGCCTTTGTAAAATAAAAGCATCTCATGTATGTAATTCCATTGGCCATGCTGTCTTGGCTCAGACAGGGTGCCATTTACAATTGTGCTGTGAGCACTGGTATTCACCTTTCCTCAGCTCAGAAACCACACACTACTTTATTTATAATCCAAGCAACCTTAATGCGTAACTCTTGCTCCGTATTCTTACTCACATCACACAGTGAGGTCACTTGCCTCTGCACCTCCACCGCTGCTCTGGTATTCCAACATGGCTCTAGGACAGCAGCCCGGCACAGCTCGGCTGCTCAAATCACAAAGCGGCCCAGATCAGAGCCGTCCTGGATAGGAGCCAGGATCCTACCCTCGCAAACCTATGCAGCTGGGGGCAGCCTATAATAAGTGGGAGACAATGAGCGCTAGCACACCTCCCACGCTTTGCATGTGGATGTTGGATCCAAATTTAAATTAAATGGTTTTATAAGGTTCTCCATAGAGCATGCTAATTATGAAACAATGTGAAACCTTCGAAGAAGGTTTAGCGGACATGCAGAGCGTGCGGAGGTTAAATTTTGAAATTCAGATTTAAGAGAATAGTGTTTTTTTATTTATTCTGGTGTTCTTTAAAATTGAATTATTGTAATACAAAATAAGAAATAAAATATAAATGTAAAGTTAAGTCTTTGACCTTATTTCTTTCTATTTTAGCTTATCAAGCTTGGGGTACTCTGAAAACTGGATAACTAGATTTGTATTTTTCTGCAACAGTCTTTTAAAAAGCATGTTCATTTTGTTAGGTTTCACATGGGGGAACTAGAGATATTAAAGGCATTTTGCTTTAATGAATAATAATGAACAATTCACTGTGATGTAGATGGTGGTGGTGCTTTAATGGTCCCTTGTAGCCTCTTAAGCCTCTGGTGATAAATCTTACACGGGCTCCCTCGTATAACTAAAACCCAAACCTCATTCAACTTCACATCCATCAGTGTTTGGCTGAAAGCGATGACAAAGCACTTTCAATTACACCAGTAACTGACTCTGGAAACAGTTCATAGCAGGGTCCAGCCTCGAAGACTACGGGGGGAAAAGAAAAAGAAAAAAAAAAAAAAAAACACAAGGGTGGGGAGAGGGGAAGAATGGCTGGTAGGGCATTTGTTTGACTTGCTCCCAAATAATAAAAAGGGTGGTGTGACTCAGGGGGGACACAAGGGATGCCGCCAGCATCGTGGAGCCAAGGACAATTCACCTATTTTGCGTCCTGTCACCCCTGTAGTCTGATTTA